TGTCCCAGTAGCATCTTTAGGGTCAGTTGTGAACTGCAGGAACGTCATGCCATCATCATGGGTTGTCTCTTCTTTATTTCCTTCAGCTTGCTCAGAGAAAAATTCAGGAAATACTGGCTCAGGTAAGAAGGCAGCAGCAACAGCAAAAAACATTGCAAAGTGGACAGCCTCAGCCAAGACGAAAATAAAGGTTTAGGAAATGGCCCATCAGAGACAGATGCCAGACCAAAGACAGACTGTGCAACAGAGAGACGGGTGGTGAGCACCTGTTGAAGTTATATGCAGAAGATCCACCAAGCCAATCACCTGTTTGAGGACCAGGCAACCGCTGAACGCTGTCTCTGAGAATGTATTCTTTAGGCTCTCTCAAACTTTTGAAACCCAGCTTTAAAATAAGGACCCCTTCACTTCCCTTTTGTTCTATTCTCACAATTTAACATAAACTCGTTAGTCTTTTTTATTGTTCTTATTATTCCCCAACAATTTTAGAACTTGGTTTAATGAAGCTTTCTCTTCTGAGTTCACTGGTTTAAAAACAGAAAAAAAAAAAAGAAAAAAGAAAAAAGGAAAAAAAGAAAAGGCATTGCTCTTATAGGTCCAGCTGTAAAAGAAGAAACACATTAGGAGGGTGGGATTGTGGGTGGGCTAGGGTTAGAGCAAGGGTATCGACAGGAGTTTAAGTGTTAGTCCCAATGTTGAAACAAGTGGCATTTTTTAAAAAGAATTTGGTTGCATTTTTACATAACACTGCCATGAATAACCTAAGGGAAGTGTTGAATGGTGTTGGCCAGGGCATAAAAAGATAAATATGCATTTTACTAAACTACCTCAGGCATTTAGTACCTCAATGAGAAATTGTTCCTTTTTTGCTTTTTTTTTTGGTATTTTGTATACTTTATAAAGCTAATAGTTCTTGAGCATTTTATTTTTTTAAAAAAAATTAAAATTTGATCAGCCACCAGCCAGGAGTACTATGGACTTATCGGGGAAAAATATAGCAGAGCACTTCTAGCTGCTGGCTGATGGGAGTAAGGTGGGTAAAAAAAACACGGCCTCAGATTTTCTGAGGGCTTCAACACCATCATTTGTTTAAAAAAAAAATTCAGTGAATGTTCAAAAGATAGTGAATGATGCCAACATTCTGATAGCAGCAATGCCGTTTAGTTTTCTTTTAAGATGGGATGAAAAAGTTTGTGACGGTACTTTTTTGGGAACAGGACAAGGAAGTGATGGCAAGAGGCTGGGGTTGGGGGAAAAATTTAGAAGGCTGCAAGAGGCTGAATTTTTTTTTTGTGCTACTTGATTGAATGCATGAACCCTTTGTGCCTTTGACCATCACTACCTAATAATGCTACATTTAACCATTTGCAGCCCATTTGGACTTTGCCATTTTGTTCAAAGAGCAAGCTTCATCTTCAGTTTGATAGAACACTCGATCTGCTAGAGCGTTTTGGAGGCCGTGAGGGTCTCTGCTGTCTGCAGGTCATATCATACTGCTTTCAGTTACCACGATGGGGGAAGGTCAAACAGTGTTTGATCACGTTGAAAGATAACGAAGGCTAAGTTTACATATCCAGCCGCTGTTATGGGCCACACTAAGCCACTTTGAAGGTTTTGAAAACTATTACAAGAAAAAAAAAAACCAACAACCTCTCTAGCCTGGCTTATAATAGATGCAGCAGGATTTATGCACGTTCTGCAACCAACCATTAGAGAAAAAAATGTCAAAAGGCAGGGATAACAGGAAAGTTACCAAATTTTTTAATTTCAGAATGTAATTTGAATGCTGATTGTGGTAATAGTGACACATTCAAGTTTCTACAATAAACTTCAGTCTACCTCAGTTTAAAAAAAAAATGTGGCAACACATGGTGCATAAAGACTGCTGTGTGTGTGTGTGTGCGCGTGCGCGCCTGTATGTGTGTGGTCGACAGAGCCATGCTATTACCTCTGAACCTTTTTTGTGATGTTTTTTGTGCATGAGATGATCAGAATCACCATGCTGCACTGATTTGAGGGGCACAACGAGCAAAAACATTTGTTTCATCATTTTGTTATCTACCTCTTAGGTTCATGTTGAAATAGAGGCATTACTACATAGACTAGATAATTTTCCCAAAGATCATTGTTGTACAGATTAGATAATTTTGAAAATGGTCTGAAGTGTTTTTCCTGCATCTCTTCTTTACTAATTGGTTTAAAAACCACAAACTTATGTTGTAGTTTTAGCAAAGAAAAATGAGTTTCTTTTCCTTTTTTGACAGTGATCTTCATTCTAGCCTTTAGGATAATTTTTTTTCTTACAATGAATTTAAAATTACTGAAGTATGAAAAGTCATAGCATTTTAATTTTTGTCGAGGCTTAAGTCAGTCTGATGTTCCTTTCTTAACATTTGAGAAGGATTTGACTTCATTATTTTCCATAAAAATTATTTACAAATAGGCGCTGCATTTACATCTACTGATTTAATTACTGTCATATCTCTTAAATTCCTAGACTTAGTATGATAAATCATGTTTTATTTTCAATTGAGACTTGGTAATTTGGAGTATTTGGGAATAGCTAGAAAGTAAATACTGTAAATGATTTCAATATCCACAAAGTATGGATCATTTTTCATCTGTAATGTGCCCCCCAATGCAGCTCCACTTGCCAGATGCCTCTGAATGGAATAAAGAGTTTAACTCCTATCATCAGATACAGTTGTGTGTTGTTTTTTTAAACTAATGAGGCATAATGACTGACTGTTCTAAATATTTACTGTGCTTTGATTGAGTTGTTTTTCCATCTGTAGTAATAACTGAGTAAGGTTGAACAGTCACCCGCAGGCATTCCATAGCTGCTAGGGCATCCAGCAGCCACGTTATGATGTTCACGCTTTCCAGTACAAGTAGTGACTTCTGTGACTTCCAGTTCACCTTTTCATTTCCATACAACAGCACTATGGTTTGTAGTACCACCTTTAGTTCACAGTTTGTCTCATGCAGATAACTTAGTGTGGTTTGCTCTGGAAGGAACATGTGCACAACAGTTGTGACCCAATGCAAACCCAAAGGAAGCTTTTAACAAGTTTCAAGAGAGATGTGAATTGTAGTATAAACTTTCTTTTTTCAGCTGCTTTTTACCCAGTCTTTACTTTGATGCTTTGTGTGTGGTGCAGCTGGGCAATGAGCATGGCCCCAGAAGCCTGAATTGCTCATCAGAGAGTAAATATGGCACCTTGTATCTCACCTTGTTCCACCTCCTCTGTCCCAGAGACACCCATTGTCAGGAAGGTGGTGCCTGCAGTTAGACCCCCAGCAAGGTGGTTTTTTTCTCTTGATTTAGATCTCTTTTAATGTTATTTGAAATGAGATATTTCATTGTGAAAGCTCCAAGGTGAGAGGGAGGTCTTGGGGAATGAGGAAGAGTGTTCACAAACAACTCTATCTTTTAAAGTGGAGTGGAAAACTAGACTTCTTTTCCAAACTCTTGCATCTTCCCACTTGTCTTCACAGCTCATTTACTGAGACCAATCAGCAGAAAGAGAGAGCTGAAGAAATGATGTCTGCAGAAAACTGTGTATGGTACTGCATTTTACAGGGAAATTGGGCTCATCCTTCCCTTGAGCTCACTTCTCAGACCTGGCATCCCTGCCCTTTGAGCAACATAAATTAAGCTTCTCTCCTTAATGCTGGTGCATTGGCCATCGTTAAACCTCTGACTTTTTAATCATTTGCTTAATCATGATGCTTTTATTTGCTTCTAACCTTATGAAGCTTTTATTCTTGAGCTGCAATTTCAAAGGCATGCGCTCTTTATGTTAGTTTCCATCAAGTGAAGCATGTATGCTGTGCAGGACATGCAGAGTCTCAACATGGTACTTGAGCATGGGGTTTGAAAATGAATGTGCGAAATCACTAGAGTAAACTCTCAAGCTGGGTAAGCTGCGCTGTAACAGCTGCTAGCTCAATTGATGGATGTAGACACTGCCTGATAACTAAGTTACTCAAATGCAGTGCAGGAAATTCTGTGATGTGATGACCAGTTTCATATTGTTGTCTACCATTGTCAAGGGATCCTGCACAGAGCCAAGCCTGAACACACCTTTGTAGAAGACTGATTGGTGCATCTGTCTTGCTGGACAAACTACATAGGGTCTTTTTTTATTGTACACAAGGGTCTCACACTACCCATGGAGGAGAAACATTCCCAGTGTTCTTCCCAAAGGGATTTAGTGTTGCACAGCAGTGACCAGCCAGACTTTGTTAATTCCAAGGATTCGAGTCAGGCCAAAGGCTCAGTGAGTCACACAGGGTGATATAGATTATGACAGCTTACGTTAAATGAGAGGTGAAGAAGTGTTCTTCCTGAGCTGGAATTTCTGATTAACAGCAATCAGTGGATTTTTCAGCCAACTTCTTTTCACAATGTGCCTTGACAGTGAATTGTTATTTTTTTCATGCATCTTAATGTTTTTGTCTTATACTATTCTTACCATCATTCATTTCCAATGGTAAGAGTCCTAGACTTCACGTGACAGCTGTTACCTATCACTTCCTGTTCTTTTCTAGGCTCTCGTTACTGTTCTTTTGTTACTAAATGTTAAAGTATGGTGAGTGCATACAATAGGGTAATGTGTGCTGAGTCTGCCTCTATTCAGCTAGCTGTACACATCTCCAGCAGGAAAGGCTCTCAGTGAACGATCTGAAGCTACTCTATGTATTGCTTCTGGGAAGAAATGCCTGATTTTGAAGCCACCACAATGTGTAAGAAAGCCAATGTTCCTTCAGGTGAATTTCTTGTTGCTAAGTATCAGGAAGCATTCTGCAAATTGTTTTTTGCAGACACGTTTACCACTAACACTTTAATTTGGTGGGCAGATTTGGTGTTACCTCCATTCATTAACTGTATTTATTAAAGTTCCTTGTTTAATTTGCGTAACAATCTGCTGCCTTCAATCTAAGAGCAGGTGAGTTCATGGTAGTTACTCCTAAAATAAGAGGACAGACTCAGCATGATAAATGACCCAGATTGAAATAGGGCAAATGATATTCTTTGTTTACAAACCAACCAAAATCCAGATGCAAAGCAAGCTTCACCAGAAGAAAGAGATCTTACTCTAGCAATGAAAGCATTGTTCCGTAATGAGAAAACAAGACTTGTTACCATCCTGAAGCTCTTCTAGCTGGATTTTAGTAGTTGCTGACTAAGAACAGCATGCAATGACAATGAAAGTGATGAACTATCTGTCCAACAGCAAGTTATGCTGAGTAACAAAGGGCTTCCTCTAGGACTTTTCACCCACCTCAAAAGGTCTGAAGGTTTACACTGCCACAGCATGTTCCTCGGTGTCCTTTTGCAGGAACCAGGTGAGATGAAAACTTCTGAGAGAGGTTAGCTGTGCACTTATAATGAGCTGTATGTTTTAACAGGAAGGCAAGGAGTTGAAGTTCTTCAGTTGTGTTTTTGTTATTATTATTATTAAAAACAGATTGGCCTTGGCTGAAGAACTGATTTACTATTCTGTTAATTCAAGACACATTTGTCACTGCTACTCTTGGCTTTTATGTGCTCAGCAACACCACTGTTTTCTCTCTTCCTTCAAATTGGCACATTATTTGCTTCGCCTCAACCAAAAGCAACTGACTTCACACAACAAGCCTCATTTAAACTTTACTACTTAATGTAGTTTTACCTTACAGCACTCAAGCCATTTTGCAGGAAAGGTGCATGCACTTCAGCATACACTGCCACCACTAGCAGGCCTTTCAAAGATGCTAGAAAAACAGCCATTGCAGAGGCTGTGCCTGAGTTTTGGGGGTAAGTAGCTTAAATGGTTGTCCTTTCCTACTGTTCTCACTGCGAACTCCATTGAGACACCTTCTTTCAGGAAGGTCCCCTATGATACTGCCCCTTTATGACAGTCCGGTAGCTCTTTTGATACACTGGTTTATGCTGATCACTTGTTGTGATGCCCAAGTCGCTGTGCCTCCAGTGTCTCATGTCTCCTTCTAGTCAGGCACCTCAGCAGCTACATTAAGTTCTTGTCACAAGTTGATCACTGCTCTTCAGAAGTCAGTCCTAGTATAAAGTCTTCTGGCAGTAACTGTGGAGTCATCTGTGCTAACTGGTCATCATAGGAACCTAGAGTCCACAGCTTCTCCAGTTCATAAGTCTCTCGTGTCTCTGGCAGCATGAAGTGTATCACCATGCTTCCTGCACAGAAGAAAAAAGCACAATAAATAAGCAGTGAGAGTCCTTTGCAGCATAGTTCAGGGCAATGAATCAGGTTAAGTCTGAAACTGCTCGAACAGAGGTTTTACCATGATAGGGTGGGGATCTATCAGCAGTGAAACAGAGTAGCCCTTTTTGTTAGTGACCTGTAAAGCACTACCACACTTCCAGCTTCACAAAGAGTCTAAGTACTCCATCCCCATTCTGGCTAGATACATCAGGTCAGCTGATGGGGGAGGAGGTTCTTCAATCACTGATTCCAGCTCTTGAACAGAGAGGAATTGGTCATTCCTTACACAGAACGCAAGAACACAGCCAGCAGGACAGTGCTCTCATTTATAACAGTATCACAGAACTCCAGATCAAAGAAGTTGTCCTCCTTGTGTCCCCAAGAAATCGTAAGCCAGAAGAACTTTTACTTAAGTGAACTCCTTCCCCAAAGCTACAGATGAACTTTCAGCTTCCCTTTATTATCAACAACATACAACTGTAGCCAACTAGTTTTCTTTAGGCGTTTCCCATGCTTCTTAGCTTTGTTCATATTTTTTTAACATAAAACAGCTGAGCTCAAACTTTGACACAGCCTCACCCTTTTACTGCAATACGTGTTTGCTTACAGGATTTCATTCTGTTAAAACAATAGCAAAAAAGAAAAGCTCATTTGAGTGTGCTTCCAATATGTTTTCTCTGGTTATACCCTTCAATTTCAATTACTTCTCAGTTTATAATTATCAAACATCATCAACAGTAATGTAACTGAGGCTGAACATCATTGGCTGCAGTGCTTTCTCACCCATACTCTCTTAAGCCAAAACACAGAGGGTGAGATTATAGAGATGGTGAAGCTGCAATGCCACTCTGAGGTTAAAGCCTTGAATGTTGGTGTGGAAAGTTCCACACATAAGAACAAAATACCGCACTCAACTTCTTTAGGACTGTGGCTTTATCTGGTGTCATAGGAAGACAGACAGTGCCAGCCTGTTCAACAGTTCACTACTCAGGCAGCATACCAAGAGCTCCTGCCTGCCCAAATGGTCATTCTACAAACTTGAGGAAATTTACTGAAGCAGCTGTTCTCTTCAGTGTCCCATGTTCAACTTATTAAGACTGTTTTAGCTACTGAAGACTAGCTTCTGCTTTCTTCTCAATGCTGTGATATTTAGTGGAAGTTAACCTAGTAGCTCCATGGGGTGTATCAACAACTGGAATTGTAAAATACCAGAGTACTGATAACCTTTCATGACAACCAGGACTCACTGTGATGTCTCCTTCCTTAAAGAGCTTGTGCAGAATGTCATATAGGTCACATTCACAAATACGTACCAAAATCAATGCACAGCCAGTCATCTGTCTCTTTCCCTTCAATCCGAGTGTGAGGATCACTTTCTTTTTTCTGATGCTTGTACTGAGAGAGAAACAACAGCAGAGAATGAAATATTTCACGTTCATTTAAACACACTCAGACCTGGCAGCTAAACTTGACTTTATCAAGCTGTGTAGAGTTGTTTTAAATCTGAAACGCAATAGGTAGACAATAATGGTGGTTCTGAGGGCTGCACAGAAATATACAGCTGCAGCTCTGGAAAATAAGCACAGATCTCTCCGTGAGATTTACTATCAGACCTGAAGTTCCAATGTCCAAAGCTCCCAAACAGTTACCCATGAGGTTTGTGTCCGTTTCTTCCTCAAGATGAATACTAAATTGGTACTTAGCAATGAACTAGCCTTGCAAATACATTCCCTAGCGCTAGCTATGTGGAATCTAACTATCACTAGCATCACGTTTTGCCTCCTTTCACATACCTTTTGTGTTGTTTTATGCTGGCAGAAATGGAGATGCCCAATGGAACAGAGAGAGGGGGAGAAAACAAGTTTGACCCTGCATCACAGAAAAGGCAAAGAAGTCTCCTGCCTCAACAGCATGCTCTGAGCACTCATTGCATAGCGGGGAAAATACGATCAGCATTCGGGTTTACAAGTTATGAATTACTATGACAAAGAGGAAAGCTGAAAGCAGGACTACAGAAGCTATGGGGACAAGGCAGGGAATTTCCTATGCAACACATCAGCTTTTGCAGACATTGGCTGGAGGGGCTCCAGTCTTCCTACCTGCAACACCAAGAATCTAAGCATCCCCCAAAGCTGGAGAAATTTCATAACTGGAGGCTTAAGTACAGTTTGTTTATCTATCAAGCATAAATTTAAACAAAACAACAAACAAACAAAAAACAACCTATAATTCTGAAATTACTGAATCTTCATGGCTCCTTAATCAGTTTTACCTTATCTCTAGTTCAAGCATCTTATCCAAAACATGGAAACCTTTTTTAAGCTGCAATTAAAACAAGGAAACTAAGAAAATATTTATTTCAGAACAAGGAAACAGTACAGGTGCACAGCAATAGCAGTCCTTTCTGCCTTGAAAGACAGACTATAAAATAAGACTAATAGTACGGCCAGTCAGGAAATGAATCCTACTTCAATATGAAATCAATTACCATCAAATGTGTTTGTGGTTGTTCCATACAATGCTACCTGCTGGACAATGGTCCCAACTTGCAAAGACCAGAGCGGCCATAACTTAATTAAGAAGTAGTTCTACATTTCTGTAAAGTAGCTTATGAGATATCCTTAAAGGAAGGTAACTAAAGACATGTAACTCAACACGGGAAGGTTGAAGCTGATCACCACAGGTTTCCTTCAGCCCTGTCTTTAAAGGCTGTTTAACGGTGAACAAATTATAAAGACAAGCATTGTGTTCTTCCTCTAACACAACACCAGACAGGAAGGAGTAAGCAGCAGTTGGGACTTTGCTGCTTACAAGCTGCTAGAAGAGTGGGAAGGCCTCATGCTACACACAGGCACATCTGCATTTCAGTGCCAGTAAATCATCCATTCCATAACACTGCAAAGTATGGTAGTACTAAAGCTAGCCAGCTGCCCCAGCACCTTCTATACTTAGGCTTCAGCTTCCTTTTTGCCCACAGAGCTTCCAATGCCAGGTATGCTCTGCCACTCTGAGTACTAAAATGTAAAACCATCTCCCCCTCCTCCCCACAAGTATCATAGCTGAAACCAACAGGACTAGAAGAAAAATAAATGAAGAGCTAGGAGAAATACAGGGTCAGGAAGTAAAAGGATGTGTATGGGGAGAAGGCAAGCTGCAGGTTAGGAGTAGAGAAAGGTGAACAAGATGGGGGCAAGTTGCACTTTTCACACCGTGCTTTTAACAGTCAGGACAGCTCTTTTCTGGCCTCGAAGATCTGCCCTCCCAGAGTTAGGTCCTCATCACTAAGCTCTACCTGTATTCTTATTCTGACCTATGCTCCTGTGCTGCCAAAGCCAAACTGCACAAGATTTCTGAGAAGGATGGCTGCTGCTTCTCCTTCCCTTCTGCACATGCACAGCAGTCACTGTTTAATAGCAGTTTGTTTTAGTAAGCCCAGGAGAGGATTCTTTTCCTCATAGTATGCAATGTTTCTTCTGGTCTTACAGTGTATTTGAAAACCTGCAGATCTGATGGATTAGGTTTGAGAACAGTCACATTAGGCTATTTGGAGGGAGTGGGAATAGCTATGAAGCATGCTGCACTGAAGACACAAACAGACACAGTTTGTCAGTACCATTTCTCATCGCTGATAAACACTCTCACTGCAGCCACCAACCTGCACTACTGTCATCAGTGCTCTGAATACAGAGGTCTGTTTTTAAAATATAATCTCTACACGTTGAGCAGCACCACTACAGAAGAAAACTACAGTTAGTTGCTGGATGCACTCAAAAATAAATGACATGAGGATATGCAATTTTATCTTGCCCAGTGTATCTGCGTAACAGAAAGCCCAGGGAAATTAATTTCACAGTTTAAATTTTCACCTAAAATCACTCCCACCAACCAGGAGAGTACAGTGGGAACTGTCTTACCATCTTCAGCATGTAATGTGCCATTGCATGGAGATGCCGTGTTGAAGATCCACTCACAACTATAAAATAATTGCAGTATTTTACTTCTGGAGGTACTTGGATGACACAGATGTCCTTTGCATTCTCTTGCCTCAGCAGATTTACAACAAAGTCAATGCTGAATTTTGGAAGAGAAGTGTCTGGAACAGAAAACATAACAGCAGTAATGACAACTTCTTTCTTGCAAAAGTCAGCCACTTCTAAGTTATTGAAGATGCAAAATAGCAGTGAACTAAATGAAAGCCACACATAGTGAAGTTTGGTTTGGTACTGGCAATCCAACATGAACAGCTGATTCTTAAAAGCTACGTTTTAAAATCATCCAAGTTGAGTACTAAAGCTCTCTTCTGGTAAATAACGCTCTCTAGATGCATGGAGCACCTGGCAAACGTCCCACTTTCCTTAAGGTAACTTCTTTATTTCTTGTGAGCACATCTTAAAGTCGATATTATCACCACATATTTGACAATTAAGATAAATAAAACCAGAACACTTCAGCAGACATTCATTTTGAACGCATTAAGAATATTCCACAACAGTGCTTGGTCAACAGGCCCTAGCAGGCCCAGGGTAACGTGTGAGAAACCCAACTCTTAAACAGAGGAAACGAATGTATTAAAACAGAGCCGAAGCGATGCAGCGTTCTTTGCCACGGGGGATTATCACAGAATCCTAGGGTTGGAAAACGCCTCTCACACCACCCAACCCGGCCACGAGCCCAGCCTAACGTGTGGCCATCGCCACTCTTCCTCTTGCTGTTACCCGGCCCTCATCTCACTCCCCCCTCCTTTCAGGGAGCTGCAGATTCGTTACCGTACCGCAGATGAAGCTCGAGTGCCCGCCCTGACCGCCTCTAAGCGCGCCGCTACCTTCTGCTCACAGCCCACGTCAGCTCAGCTCCAAGCTGCCCTAGGAGGCAGATACCAGCCGTGCGCGAACTTCAGCCCGCCGGCACCGCGCTGCGGTAGCACAGACCGAGCAGTACCACAAAGCCGCGCTCTGCATTCACCGATACAAAGACCGAGCCAAAGGATCGGTAGCTACGCGCAAGTACCGCCACGGAGGGGCCACGAACCCGGCTCCGCATCCACCCTCCCGGCTCTCGTCCCCGACAACACTCGATAACGGCCCACACGCGGGCCCTACCTGCCTCCTGCCGCCGCTCCGCCGCCTCGGCTGCCGCTCCGCCGCCCCCCGCGCCCCTCGCAGCCGCCCCCCCGACCACGGGCGCGGCGGAGAGGGACCGCAGCAGCCGGCAGCCTCCCACCAACGCCCGCCACATTCCGGCCGTCCCGCGCCCCCGCCCACGGCCCGTCTGTCGCACAGCGATTGGCCGGTCTGCCGGCCGCCCCTCGTGCCTATTGGCTTATCTCGCTGTCGGTCCGCTTGCACGGTACGGCGCGAAACGGCGCGTGCGCGGGGGCCGTTGTTGGTGAGGCGGGGTGTGGAGGCCGCGCTGTAATGGCGGCGGGGCGGCGGCGTGCTGCGCTGTGAGGGCGGGGTTGGGCTGAGCGACCTGCTTGCATAAAGGTACGAAGGCTAAGGCAGATCCGCCTGTGTTTTCTGCGGATGGGCGCTGATTTGGTCAGTACTCAGACAACTCTCCAAGCTGCCTATTTGACTATTTGCAAGACAAATGGACAGTGCTCTTGACAATCGTCGGATGGTTTATTTGTCAGTACAGCAGCTAGATTCCGTTGTATAAAACTAAAGATATACAGAATGGAAGTTGCAGTTGAAAAGGCACAATCAAATGATAAAACTGAAGTGACATAATATGTAAAAAAAAAAGCGTGCGCCGTGCCGTACTCTTGGGTAAAAGATTAAAAAAAAGTTATTGAAGTGTGCCTGAAAGCTGATTTCGGTACAAAAGCCTGAGAAGACACACAGCTCCTCACATGTTCTCCGAACAAGGTGCTTTCTGCGTGTAGCTTAGGTCGCTGGCAGCCCGCGGTACTCCTGACCCTGTGATAGAGCTCATCTCTCCCTGCCTCACAGCCGGTCATCGTGAGGCGTTGGTGGAAGCCCTGTCCTGTGCCAAGCCAGGGCGGCAAGTCAGCTTCAGGCTGATGACAGGCCTTGTAACGTTCAGACAGCACGTTTCACAGGAAAAGTAGTTTCTGTTTAAGTCAGGGAATTCTTTAGGTGCCTAGTTATGGTTAGATGGGTGTTTGCTATCCATAAGGAAGACGTAACAAAACTAGACCTGGTACTTCTAATCGTATATCTGAAACGGCTACAAAAGAAGTACAATTCATTGGAGAATGTGGAAACAAAATAAAAGGCTACTGAATTTTTATAGCTAAAGACCTAACCTCACAGGTGTGTCATAATCATAATCATATCTCCTCAAGTGATGTCTGTGCACAGTGTGGACATGATAGTGAAAGCTATGTTCAGACTGCAAATAGTGAGCAATGGGCAGACCTGCCAAGATGTCAGGAAAATACGTCTGTGCTTCTTCATTGCCTCGGGAATGGAGAACAGTATGTATCAGGGTTATTGTGAGATAGATTAAATAAGCTAAATGTATTGAAATATAGATCTTCAAAGAATTCGGTGTTCAGAAATAGACTGTAGAGTCACATGCCCAGCACAAGCTTGGTGACGCAAAAGCAATAACTGAAGCATGGTGCCTTATGTAGATTGGGGTTTTTGTTTGAGAAAGTGGTCAAAGAGAGGGAATGGAGGAGCAAGAGGAAATTAGAATGTCTTTAAAAATGAGTTTCAACAGGAAAAACCAAGCAGGTGAGCCTTGTTGTTGTTGCTTGGGTGTCCAGTTTATAGTGAGTCTTGTGCACTGGTAGCTATGTCCACAGCAGTGAACTGCTGTGTCCAGCCCTGTCTGCCTGCACACTACTGAATGCCATTGCCCTGCAAAGCAGGGTGGCTGCCAAACTGCATGTGAGCAGCAGTGCCTGTGAGCAGCAGTGCCTGTGGAGGTTCCCTGAGGCTGGGATTTGCTTGCTGGGGAGCTGGTAGGTGCAGGGCAAGCCTGTGCTAGGACCAATGTAAGCAGTTAGGTGCCAGTGCCTGGGAGTATAGCATGGCAGTTTCTTTCCACAGACGTAGCCAGTATCTGCCTCCTGTTTCTGACCTGAATCTTCTTTAAGGTGGTAAGCATCTACACTGGACTGTCTATTTAAGACTAAGTATTTATGCGTTTTTGCTTGTTTACATAATATTTTTTCCCCTGCAGGTTTTAGATCTGATTAATTTTGATCTAGTTAACCCAAAAGTAAGAAAACACAAGGCATGAGGGTTAGTTATTTAGAAAAGCGTATCCTAGATCACAAGCAAGAACAGCAAGTGCTCAAAACTACCTTTGTTTTCTAAGAAGGACTATTTTGGTATTTCTAATTGCACCAAGCCCCCAGAGCTACCAATCAATCTAGATGTGTTTTACCTTACTCCTTTGTTTTTATAACAACAACAACAAAAAATCATGATACAGTCTTGTACATAATCTAAGTCAATGTTAAGTTAAAGGTTTAAACAATGCCTGGTTTGCTTTTCAACAGAGGATTTCTCTCGGTACTCTTAGGGAAGAAAAAGGCTTTGAAGCTGCTGACATAAGCACTCAGTCCCTCCTGGTTCTCTGCTTGTCCTGCACTTCTCTCAATAGGTTTGTATTGTTTGTATCTCCTGCAAAGAACGTGTGCAGTTAGGTGCAGAATGACATTTGAACACAAAGGTCCACATTTAGCATGTGGCCCAGTGCAGAAGAGAATTGATCATATATTCATAACATAACTCCTTCCCCCTTCTATTGAAAAAATAACAACTGCCATAGTTAATTAGTTGTGACTAAGGCCTTGTTAATGAGAAGGCTCTGTTGCTTAGAGGAGTATTGTTGCTCTGTGTTTCCTCCTCACCACTGCCTGCAACGGCTGAGCATACTCTTAAATCAGGAGTCTCAGTGCAGTCTTAAAGCTTCACCAGAAACATTGAAGCTAATAATGCACAGATATGTGTTTCTTTTAACCACTTTCTGCATGCCCGGATTCAGATTCTCTTTTCCCAGAGAATCTGTCAGTTATTTAATGTATTTTGATGATTAATTCTTGATAGCTACTTGTAAGAGTTTTAAAGCTAAATAAAATTTCTATTTGTTAAGTTTTACTGAATACTAAATCACATCATACAGTTTGAGTTTCCTTACATGCTGTTCCCAGGCCTTCTTTTATTACTGTTTATGCAAATGAGCACCAAATGTAATTTTCTATTAAATTCAAATATTCACAAATTTTCTGATGGATTTATGGGTTAAGTCAGTAATCTCATATTCTTGAATGTTTGCTAGAACATTTGTGAATAACAATAAAAAAGAAACAAAAATACAGCTAACACAAATTTAAGCTGTGGGTTGTGCTAGTTTAGCTAATACTTTTGTCAGTTCCTTGAACTGTTTTTAGTCTTAGCAACTTACTTGTAAAGGACAAAAGCTCCAATGGCGCCAAACACTGCCAACAAACCAAGGAAGATGAAGACACTTTTTGTTGTCCCTGAGGATGATCCTAGAGTTCAGAAAGCAGCTTGATTAAAAATTAGCCTTGTCTTAACAGTGAAATTGGCTTTCTCAAGAAAATATCATTTTTATCTGACTGTTTTAATGGCTGTATTGGACTTATACCGGAATGCAAGCTAAGCATTGGAAGTCAGTGACTTAGGCAGGAGGTGGTGCTTTCACAGGCTTAATTCTGAGTGCCACCAGACAGTGGGCTGGCTCTGCTAGTTTTGCATGTACAATGCTCCAGAGACATGCTGTGGCTCCTCCAGCCACCAAAGGACTCATGGTGGCATCCCATGAGGTGGAGCTGATTGGCTCCCTGCTGATTGCAAAGGTAGGGGACCATTTACACTGAAGTATGAGATGTAGTCTCTTTATAAGCTGTAATGTAGGAATCAACTTTGGTTCGAGGGGTGATAGCCACGAGGTAAGGAAAAGGGAATGAAAATAGACTTTCTTAAATGTTTGTTTCAGCTCCACGTATTAAGATGGCAAAGTTTGGCTGAGAGCCTGATGGACCCAGGCTTGTTTGCATTATTGAAGAGCTGACAGCTCTGCTGTTTAACATTCTTATCCTGGGAAATTAACTCTGGGCTCTGATTGTCATTGAGCTCTTATCTTCTGGCTTGTCACTGACAATTTCACTCTATTCCAAATTCCATTGTATGTGAATGGAATGTAGGTGCATTGTTACAATTTTTTTTTTAATGTGTTACATATCTTAATTTTCTAGCCCATTGGAAGGACTTCAACCCATTCACTGAGTATACTGAGACACATTATTGCTCCTCTTATTAACCACCATTTTTATACAGTGAAGTAACCTAGAGGTGCATGTTGACTTACTTTCCAGTGTATTGATTTATAATTGATATCTATGAAAAATCAGGACATTAAATAATTTACTTGGTGTATGTGCCTCAGGCATTTTTCAGTTTGTTGATAAAATATCTGTGGAGGCTTGACTTCACTGTTTGTTCACATGATAATTTTTCTGAGAGTGTAGGGATTTACATTGTTTTATTAATAAGGTAGCTCCTTGGACTACTTTGCAAAGCAAACTGATGGGACAGGTCTAAATCGTAGGACTGCAATTCATTCAATAGCAGTTTGAGCAGGTTAAAAGCTGGTGTTGTGTGCAGTGCTTGCAAACCCAGATACAGTCCTGCCAAACATCAAAGGTCAAATGTTTAGGTATGCTCGGGTACCAAATGGGATTTTCCCTTGAAATTTGTGCAAAATTATGGCACAGGGGAAGTGTTTGCAAACTTTAGATGGGCTCCTCCAGAAGGTGATTCATAGCAGCAGCCTCTCTTAGATCCTATTTCTGCAATGATTATAGCGTAAAGCTCCAGACTACAAATTAGCTTTTCCTTCAGGAGGAAACCTGGGGAGACAGTCTTGTTAGGCTAAATTTAGCTGCTGTGAATACACTTTTGTAAAATCCTACTTCATTTTTTTTTTCTGTCTTTTGGAGCTGAAATACAATTAGGTCAGGCACTGTGTCTTCGTCACCATGAACTGATTTAGGCACAGCTAATTTTACAGCTAGATAGAATAAAAGCAGCCAAAATACTGTGGCAACTGACTTCAAAGGGTCAGTTTCTTGGCTGATACCAATTAAATAAATCAGAAGAGTCACTGGGACATTTAGTGAGAGGTCAGGAGGGGAATGGGTTGGGAGCAGAGAGACAGCTTTATTGTTTAGGGTCCTTAGTGAGGCCAAGTTAATACCTGTTTCTGTCAACGACTGCTTGAATAACTGTGAGTAAGATACAGTGATACTCATCTGACCAAGGTAAACTGATTCTGAAAACAGTCACCTAGGGCACATTCCGTCATCAGTGAATGACTCAGGCCTTTCCTCAGAGCCTGGTTCATCTTATGTAGAAATAGAAACTCAGTTAAGATCAATGGGCTACAAAGAGGGCACAGGGCAGCCTGCTCAGCTGCAGGCTTTGGTTCTCTTTCAAATGAGCCAAATCCTTCCTTACTGTCTTCTATATATCCATGTGTGCAGTAGGATGAATGGCACGTCTCTTACCTACTTTTCTGCCCAACAGAGTAGCAAAAATAACCTACAGCTAAAGAACATGTAATGTTTTGTGTTACTGATGGGTTTGTATAATTGCTATACTCTGTAGATTGTACAGCAAGTTTTAACATTTAAAATTTTCACAGGGAAGCAAATGTCTTTTATCTTTGTATGACCTCTCACACAAGATGGCTGAGGCCTGCAGGCATGCTAAAACTCCCATGTACCTTCTTGTGTTCCCTTCTCAGCAGATAAATGACCATAAGGAGAAACTGCTCACAGACAACCCGCATCTGCTCTGCACAGACTCACCTCCATTTACAGAAATAAGTGCACTGGCAAGGGCTTGACTCGTGTCATCACCCAAGGTGATGTTTATACAGTACGTTCCAGGTTCATCAAAAGCTCTCCTAATGGTGAGTAAGCATTCTTCAGTGACGATGACGGGCTCACATACCATGCCCTGAGACACCTGGCATGTGGGGTCAGAAACTGCTGTACAGACATCTGTAGGGAGACTGGGATGGGAAGAGTGAATAGGTTGCATTGTGGAATCCTGTTAGCCCCACTTATGGACACCTTGCACTGCTGCCCCAGATTTATACTGATGCTTGTTTGCTTATCAGTGATACCATCGTGATTATGAAGATGGTATATATATATTATCTATATTTTACGCATTTAACATTTTATGGTGATCACAGGAAAAACTTGCCACAAATAGACTTATGAAGTTTGTTGCCTTTAATACACATCATTATGAAAAGAATACGGATTCTTATGTGTAGTATCATGTGCTGAAAAAAGTGAACACTAACTTAAGAGAGGTAAATTGTTTTCCAGTTATTCCAAGATAATTTTTATAGTTCTCATGCCTCTCAACTCAAATCCCCTTCCAGGATCTAGGAATATTAGTGCAAATTTTTCTCTCTAAGAAATTGCTTAGATGCACCCATTTACTCTAAATGTCAAAAAAGAGACTGAAAAGGGACTGTTTCCTTCCAATTTCAGTAGGCTGCTTCCAATTTCACAATGAGTGCTGAAATCCTGTCTTTGCCAGGAAAATATAGAATTGCTTCTCCACAGTATCTAGTTCTCTTTTAGTTCAGCCTGCCATTTGTTCTGTATCCTACGAGCCTGGCAGTCTCTTCTGTTGACATAATTTACAAATGAAACTTTCATTATCTTTAGTTCCAGTCAAGAAATAGAAACACTGTGGTGTTCCCAACTTTTGTTCATTCTGCTGTGTCTAAGTGCAGACAGCACCTAAATGTTCCAGCACCTAATTATTTTTAAAGAGGGAAGATGATTGACAATTTCATTTACATACTTACCTCCCTTGGCAGGTAACAACAAAGTCCACCAGTGGATTTTCAGCTTGACTTTCTGTCATCTGGATGCTTGTCATCTGAATAATATTTACCTCAAGGATTCCCTCTGGGAGAGGAAACAGATGTCAACAGTAGGACACATGACGACCTTGTGTGTACAGAACCTCAAGTGTTTGGCTGATACTCAGGTCAGGTCTTGTTTGCCATAACCTTCTTCCTCCCTTTGTGCTCCTTTTGAAGGGTTTGAAAGCTGAGAAATATTCCAGTACTTTCCCTATAAGATTGTGCCTTTCTGCTTAGCTTTATTTTTCTTTTATAGTTAGTTAGTTACATTCACAAAATCACTTCCACCTCCCAGTAGCCACAGCTTCTGTACATGCCAAGGTTAGCTCAACCTTATGTGATCCCTCTGGCCAGTGTGTTTCAGAACAGAAAAGAATGATAGAGCTTGTATCCCTACCAGCTGTTTCCCATCCCAAATGCCTGGAAACCCATGTGTAGCATGGGGACAACCATCAGTGGGTGTCCAGACAAAGGAAGATCAAGTCTTGTCTGAAACCAAGGTACCATAAACTTCACTACAGACCTGACCTGTCAGAGCATCTAAAGAAACCAAAGTAAGCCAGTTAACTATGTGTGCATTAATCTTTAAAAATGCCAGCTGTGTCCAAGAGAAGGATCTTGACTATGGTACTCACATATCTGGTAAAACTGTGGCTAAATAAACATTATCATATGTGTAGTACATTACCCTCATTCTGCTCCAGGTATTGACTCATCCTTACCTACAATGGTGATACCAGCTGTGTCATATCCATATCTGTAAATATGGCAACCTCCATCAGGATTGTCTTCAGTTGTCTCATAGGGGACAGAAGGGTCTGAATTAGAAGATGCTTTGGTCGTTACTGTTGGTTTGAGGAAAGAAAAGTAGATACACATCTTTAGAATGAGTGTAGAAGTATTCTGAGTATGACTCTCTTGCTGGATAGTATTCATTACTTATGTCACTGGTTGTTTTGCTTTGCAGCTATGCAGTAATACGTTTATCTTTGTGGGATCATTCTGAAAGAAAACACATGTGGTAAGCTGCTCTGTCGAACCCTAGAGTGGCTTGAGTAAACTCTGCCAGTCCCCTGTCTGTGTGAAATAAAAGTGAGACTGCAAGATTTGGTATAATTGAGCTTTAAAATCCCCACATCAATTATAGAATAATTCCAAATGCCAACAAAAGCTTTAAAATGCTCTCTTAGAAAGCAATTATTTTTTCATTGTTCTACATTAGAGCTAATAGGGAAGTAGTGAAAATTCTCTTTTCTTTGCTTTTTAATTCTCGCTCCATATTTCATTAAAACCTTAAAAAATTTCACTTTAAAAATGTGAAATTTGACAAATATAGGCAGATTTACAATTTAACACTGGTAGTGTTATATAATTACCCAGGCTGAAACTGCAGGCCTTTTGCAAACTTTAAAATCCTTTGATATGTTAAAAAAATGCTGACCGTCATGGAGATTATTCTGAAATAGAAGTTGTGCATAAATTTAAAGTGGGAAAGTCATTTTTGGCTTAATGCAATGTGGAAATCCCATATTTTGAAATATGAGTAAATGTTTTTCTATTTCATTCCAATCTCATTCAGTTTTGGGTGGAGATTAATGCAAACCAGAAAGGAACTGGCTCTGAAATACTTCTTCCTCACTTAAAATTTACATCTTACCTCAAAAGATGTCTCTTGAGTGGGCAAGACCACAACCACTTGATCTGGTGTAGTAGAGGATATAAAAATAGATGTGTATATGTGCTTAGGTCTATGTGAAGACCCCTTTAAGCCATCATTGTGGTGATAAATGGAAATTAGTTTCTTAAATATGTGTATATGATGTCTATGTGTATATTGATTCTGTCTCTAAACCAATTTGTGAAGCTTGCAGAGCTTCACGGAACTTATTTGATAATACCAAAAGTTCTAAATATATGTACTTAATGATTAGAGATTTAGTATAGATAGATAAACTCTTACCTGCTGGGGTGGGCAATGATGGAGTGGGTGTTACTGGCTTGCAAGGCACAGGTATAATAGCTTGAACAGTTAAATTGAGAGTGAAGTTTCCTTGCAGAGCAAAGGTGTGAGATGTAGTGGCACCACTTTCTACAAATAAGCCACTTCCATCTCCAAAGTTCCATTTGTAGGAGATGGCGGAATTATTAAGGAAGTAGCTGGGATCATGGATTTTCACATCAAATGTGATTGGTGAGTCTTTGATAAAAATGGAGTCGGAGATATTTCGGTCATGTTTTTGGGACATGCTCACAAATAGTGGAATTTTGTCTGCCAGAAAAAAAAAAAAAAAGAAAGAAAGAAAGTGAGTGAAGTGCACATATCTGGCTCCAAACAACAAACAGCTCCAAAGATCCTGAACAACAAGAATCAGAATGTGAGACATTAGTATCTTTAACATGGGTTTCCAGTTTAATTTGATTTACTGATCTTCCAAGTCAATGGCAAACAGTTACCCAGAGAGGTATGGGAACAAATAAGGAATCACAGGCATCAGTGGAAAATGGCATTTCCTCCAGTAAATCCTTCTTCATCATATCAAGTAGAGATGTCACAACTGAGATAGTTACAGAGATTAATTACATTATTCTAGGGAATTTGCTAGAGATATCACATTTGTATTAAAAACCTTTCTCTGGCTGATGCATTCTTTTCATGCCAGATTATGTTTGTGGTGAATTCTTTCTTTTAACAGTGAAACAACAAATGCTCCCAGTATTTTGTTGCAGTTTATTTCAGCACACTCACCTGTTACAACATAAGTGGTACTTGCTCTTGCAATGGGAACGTATGTTGAGTGCCCTCTCCTGTAAATGGATACTGCCATTATGTGTTTGCCAAGAGTGATATTTGCAGTGTTGACTGAAAAAATTGTTGAAGATTGTCCAATTGTTTGATAGTAGTGACCTGAAACAGAACATGAACTTGTAATATATTTTCCTTTGAGTCTAGCTACAAGAAATTGCTTTTACAGAACCTGTATCTTCATGATTCTTGGATTGCCTAATCAAAATGTATAGTTCAGACTTGTCCTTCATTTGTCTGGTGAGCGTTTGGGTAGCACTTTTACAATGCATTTACTCCCATTTTTTAATTTTTTTTTCCCAAAGGTGTCAGAAAGATGTCCCACAATTCACTGATTTAAAGAAGAGCATTTGCGAAGGCATTTACATCTTTGCAAAGAAATTACATTATGTTGAGTTATTAGGATTATGTAGTGGATGGCGTTACCTTTTAGGCATTTTAAGTTTACCTTCAGCGTAGCAAGAAGATATAATGCTTCATACCCCATAGCCCTTTGTATACATTTGTTTATTTGTCTTCCAGCTGATTGAGGTAGGTAAATAATATTACCTTTATGTTAAATTAGGGACAATATTATTATTATTCATGCTGATGTTGATGATAATACTGATTTTCTCAAGCTAAATTAGGATTCTAAGATTTAGTACGTACCCTGTGCCAGAAATAGCCCAACCATTACATACTCACAGCTGGAAATACTGAAAATCAGCATTTGTGAATAGAAATAGTACTGCATAGTCAATGACAGTTTTCACCTTCTCCCCAGAGTTAAGAATTGCTGTACCATTAAACTGATGTGAACATGTGCAGCTTTGTGCTCTCAATAAAATCTGAGAATCTGAAGTGGCAGTGACTGGCCAGCAAATCATCTGACTGACCTCAGACCCTATGTTTTCCTAGAAAATTATATTGAGTACCACTGAAAGGAAATTAATTTTCTTCAGTGGTAGTTCTTTTTAAGTCTGTGAATGCAGACTTAAAAAAGATCTCCTGATAATACACAATTTCCAAACCTAGCAGAAGATTAATAGAACAACTGGTGGCCTCTTTGAAAAATGGGCAACGAATTCGGGGTCCCCATTCAGGAAGTGTGGAATCCTTTTTAAGGACTTTTAATGAAAGATACTAGAAAAAATGAGTGAATGTAAGCTTTGCAGCGTCAACCAAACTGGGGTACATTGCAGTACTAACCAAATGTATGGAATAGATAGACAAAGTTCATTCTCCTCCAGCCAGGATAATGAGGGAAAGGTCTTCCATCTGGGAATACATTATGGCTGTGGTTGCTTGTGCAGTTTTCCCAGCTGCAGTTGTCGATCCATTCAGTCCAGTTGTAGACGTACTGATCCTGGGCTGGAGAATCTAAGTGTAGAAACGGGACACATTCCTGGTCAGGTGAGAATCTCACAGCAAGTGAGGAAACAGGAGGCAGACTCCCTAGGTTATGACAAAGTCACTGGCCTTAAACAACAAGGTACGCTGGGTTATTTTTCAGCTGACATTCAGTTTTTCCATGTATGTGGGTTTTTCTGTTGTTGTTGTTTGCTTGTTTTTAATACAGACACCAAATTTTTCTGGCTTAGAATTTTTTATTTAGAGGCTTAAAAAATTTACTGTGTCATGAGCCAGACATCATTTAAAGTTACTTCTCCAAAATTTGCTGACAACTACATGGCATTGTAGTGTTTCGCTGGAGCCAGTGAAGTTTCCCCAACATTTGGCAAGCAGAATTTAAAATTTTAAGTAGAAACTTCAGCCATGGAAACACTGTGAAGAAATGACTTAGTTTGTTTTGTCAGAAGAGTTCTCTATAAATAACTTAGACCTGAATTTCAGTTCCTTTTTGAATAATAAAATATAGGTTCCTTCCCCAACCTGCACAATGAGCATTAAGTAGAGGATGGATATCAGCAGTTAACAAAATACTAGACACTGAAAAAGTAGAATCTAGGCTGAAGAAAACAAAAAAGTTGTTATGCCTTGAAATGAAAATTACTTTCATCATAAAAAAATGTGTTGAAGATTTATGAGTTCAGAGGAAGAAATGTACAACAGCCTCTTTTACTCCAGTAAGTGTGGGAATGTAAGATTTATTCTTTCCTGAGAGTTAGTTTGTTAGTGAGTTCTACAATCCCAAACTGGAAAAAAAAAGTCAATTTTATAAACCAACAGCTATATAAATTTTGAGGAAAACAGTGTGACTGAGTGATCAATTTAACCTGTACTCAGCCTGCAACATTGTGACTGAGCTGAAAGGCAGCAGCAGTTTTGTTATGAAGCCAAATGAAAGCCAACTGAAGTATTTGGGAAGCCAGTTTTATAGTGAAGACAAATCGTAAATTAACTGATCATAATTTGTAGGAGATGCATAATGCTAAAAATAATGCAGCAATGTGAAGAAAGAAAATGGTATGACAGGTTTGACTCTAGTGTAGTTATCAGTTAAGAGCAACATGACCACTGTTCATAGGGTGTACTTCTAATGATTTCAACAATTTGCACTTTCACACCAGCATGGAGATTGCCACTACTTACCTGCGGTACAGTTTCTCTGGTATATAATGTTGCCATCGTGATCTTCTTCCTGGCACTTGGGAAACTGGAGGGTCACAACAAAGGTCATATTGGATCCCACCAGTGCTGGGCTGTCAGTCACCAGTTTGGTTGTCACCTTTCCTCCTGTAAAAAACAAAACTGGTCTTCACTGCATTTATCAGAGCAGCAGCTACCTTCAACTGTTCACTACATTCTAAGCGCTTCCTTGCTTGCTCCTTTATATCCAAGGGGATTTGTAATCCTTAATCACTTGAGTTCTTATCGAAGCCCTAGTTTAGAACAATAGGGATTCCCCCCAAAATAACTTAGTGATCTTTCATTCATTTCCTTCCTAGAGCTAAAAGAGATTTTTTAGCTATGAGGTTGATATATCCCAAAGGAGAATATTTGTATTTCTCCCCTGTATTTAGAACTTGGCTCAGCCCAGGAGACAATAAACAGGCCTTTCACAGAAGTTGTTAAACTGAAGCTCACAGCACCCTACTTAGGTAGAAATTGAAGCTACATGTCCTGTAGGGCATGTTTCAAACAAAGCATTATCCCAGAGCCCTGGCCATCGCTATGTGGTGGTAAGTATTCATGTCTGAGGCTGTGAGGAATGGGAAAGCAGTAACTGGAACAGCTCATTATTCTGCTTCTTCAGACAAGGTGTTGCTAATGGTATCAGAGTAGATCATCCCTACTTTGCAGTGTTTGCAGCAGCTGAGGATATTGCACCTGTGAAAAAGCACTGCAGCACCTGTATGCTCCAGTGAGGATTTTCTGGCCAATTTTCTCTGTGTCTTTGAATCGTGTGTGTGATTACCTTTCCAGCAGTCCTTCCACCGAGGGTCGTTGTCTTCCCAGAAAGGATAAAGTTTTTCATTCCAATTGTTTTGATCACTAGACCAGCCTTGTATCTTGTTGTGGTGCATGACAGGAGAAGTTCTTCCATTGCTCAACACATCTTGAAACCCTGGATAGAAAAGGAAACATGCAGTGGGCTGGCGTCCTCCCTCCCATCCTATAAAGGCACCATGCCTGTGCTGAACAGCCTTCCTGTTATGACTGTATTCTGGTCCTCTTCATCAGAGGAAAGTTATAGAACTTTATCATTGCAGCCCTAGACACTTTAATCAGCTATAATCAGCAATTCCACCTCTGACAGACTGATACTTTTCCACTTGCTCTATTGCAGGCTCTCCAGAGAAAGAAAACAATGTTTTCTGACCATATCGGAGCCATTGTTCTTACGAGTGAACATAAGCACGCAACAGTTAGGACAGTTATAAAGAGGTTGCCTGACTGCTGCATGCCTTATGCTGGACAGGTGACAAACCTGTGGCTTAAAGGGAACAGGCTACATGCACTGTGTCTGAGCTGTGCTCCAGTGAAGGTTGTGCTGGAAATGAATTTTGACCCATTGATGTTTCTTTGGTGGAGTGGCTGCTAGTTTGTGTGAGAGGGCTGGAGCCAAGTGTAACAGAAGCTGGTGTTTGCAGAAAAGGAAATGAAGAGCTGAATAGTAAATTCAATGTGTTTACCGTGTAACAGCAAAAACACATTAGCTTCATGCCTATTACTTTAAAATGACTCAGATTAAATAACGTTAATAACCTCTTTCTTCTCATATTACTTCAAATGAGGGACTCAGACTTTTCCCAGGCCTTCGAGGATCCCTTTCTATTATAAAGTACTCACATAATGCGAAGCAAAATAAATATTCAAGTAACATGTAGGAACACGTCAAACACTGTAGGATACCATAAAAATATGTTCATAAGTAGACTCATATGCAGAGTTCCATGAAAGCCTGGAGGCTTTGAACAACTCTGTCATCTTAATCAGGTAACTGCTGGGTGTGTCAATTTGTCCCAACATCAAGGGAGTCAGGATTTCTTCTTTATTTTAAAGTTCGTAGATACTGAATGCTTGTGAGATTTATACACGGGTGCAAGAAAGAGCTGGATGATTTCAGGGAAGATGCAGGGACCTATAAGAAGGGCAGGAATGGCTATAGGTGCTGTACCAAAACCAGTCATGCTGGTGTTTGTCCCGGTTTTGGAAAAGTTGCAGAGCAGGTGTAGACAATCTAAGCCTGGTCTTGTGACTCCTAATTTTACTGCAGGGAAGAGCCAGAGGGACAGCACCACAGAATAGGCAGGAGCAGCTTCTCTCTTGATGTTCTATCACCCAATGAGATGGCTACTGATCTGGGAGGGCATCCCTTGGCCAGTCCCATCTCAGTGGTCACCTCAAAGCAAGTAGCTCTCTCCCTGGTCTCTTGAGGCTTAAGGACTGAAAGGTACAAGGAAAAGAGTCTACAGATGTTATGAGACATATTCTCCTATACATTTTTGTCCTACAGGAAATCCTTGCAGTCTCACTTAAATATCTTGAATCAAGACTTCCCTGAAGATTCAAGATATTTTGACGTGAGCAGAGCAGAACATCATGACCTATACTTCCTCATAGCTTGTATCACATGCTATATTATGTTCAGTCTTTTTCAGAGTTGGGCAATATTGTCCTCCAGGAAAAGAAAAGCAGATTAGAAGCCTATAAAAACCATAAAAATATTTTACAGAAGCTTTTTGTGCTTAATCACATGTTATGTCAAGAAATTAATGTCATCTTATTTGAAAGTAAGTAGTTATGAATTTTTCCCTTTTTTTTCCATTCTCTTTGATTTTATCTAAAAATTATGTGATGAATAAAAATGTTTTGATTTTGTCAAATCAAAACATTTCAATCATTTTTTCCCCCAAATATTCAGTTCATCAAAATGAGCTGGAACAGTTCTAATTTTATAAATGCTTTTTATTTTGAATAGCCATCTTTGAATTCAGAAGTCATTTTCCCGTTCAGCTTTAGTAATAACTGTGGTCACTGCTTCTAAATCATGAGCTCCTGAGGCATTTCTGTGCCTCCCCATTGTGCTTTGTTTATTTCAATCAAATATAAAACATTTCACAAAAGCTTCAGGACAAGACAAAGACATTTTTAAGATGAGAAAATACTTCACCACTAGTTCAGCTAACACATGGAACTGAAGATTTTCCATTGCTGAACTTAAAGGAATGGAAAGCTTTAATGTATTTCTTCTGTAACAATGAAAAACACTCAAGCACAGATGTTGGTCGTAACATAAAATTAGACCAGTTTAGTTCAAAATAGATGGGGTAATAATACAATCTAAGGAAATGATTACTGTTAGATTTTTGGTGAGGTGATCATAAGAGAAAAGATCACACTCTGATGGACGTTCTTCTTTCTCATTCTGGTTCTCATTTTGGAGAAAAATACAGAGAAGACAAGTTCAGTATTTCCTGTGCTAGTGTGTTAGCCATGAAAGAGAGAAAGTCAGCGGTAGAACAGCAATAAAAAGATGGCACAGTTAAAGAGCAGAATGTAAGAAGGCTGATGTTATGACCAAGCTAAGAAGAGAGAAAATGACATAAACTTTCTGAAGTTGCATGTGGAAACATAATAAAGTGAGACAAAAGAGAATTTGAGAAACAACTTACAAAAATGTAAAACTTACTAATTAAACTTTTTAAAATACAGAAGTATTAGAAAGCCTGCCAGAAAGTCCGTAGGGCGAATAGAGGGTATAGATACAAAAGCAACATTTAGGGAAGATAAAGCGGTGGCACAAAAATAAAAATATATTCATTGACATTTTCATGCTCAACGGAAGAGTCTGAAAGACTTCTGTGCCAGAATTTTCTTCACAGTGATGGAGAATCTCTCTCAAAGTGAAGAAAAAAAGATAGAGCAAGTCAACAAATAAAAAAGCTGTCTGGATCAGGTGGCTCAAAAGGTGTGGAAGCTGTTCAAGAGTGAAATAAATGAGCTGTTAACCATAACGTGTAATGTCTTGCTCAAAGCTGCTTCAGTGGCCGTGAAACAAAAGTTGGCAACTGTGCCGACAGTTTTTAAAACATTTCCAGGGAAGATTTAGAGGATTATAAAAGGCGTGATGCTCAAATTGGACAAGCTGGTAGAAACAGCAGTGAAGAACAGAGTTGTCAGAAACAGCGGATTAATATGATGTGCCGTAAAGGAGCGCATTCCTCACGAATACATTCAAGTTTTGCCAAGGGAGCTGGAGAGCAGGTGAACAAGGCTGACTGGGTTGTTACAGAACTGTTTGTACAGAACAAGAGCCTCTAATCTGCTATTGCCAGTTGAAAATGAGATCTTGTATCTTTACAGTCTTGAATGTGGTGCTCAGGAATAGTTGAAAAAATAGGTAAAGGTTAAAGAGTAAAGATGAAAACATTGTTACAGCAGTGTATAATTCCCCACGTGTTTGTTTGTGGCTTGAATACTGCATACTGCTTTGTTCTCTACAGCACGAGCAGGGTATCAGAGAAGTGAAAAATACAGAGAAAGGTGCCAAAGGGATGGAATTGTTTCCAGATGAGGAACAAGCAAATAGCCTAGAGAGTGGGTGACAGGAGAATGTAAAAACAGAATCATGAGCAGCACGGAGGAAGAAGCATTTTTTCTCTGTTTCTGAAAGTCCAGGAGTTAAGGACAGTAAATGAAACTAGTAGCTGATAGGTTCTAAGCACAAAAAATACAGTTATTTCTTCAAGGTAGGCACAGTTGAGCTGTGACATTTCTTGCTGGGTCAAAATTCACATGGGCTACCACCAAAACTGGAGTGTACGAACTGATGGGGGAGAAATCCTGTTAAATACAATGGTTCTACATCTGACTGAGGAAGTTCTGATGCTATACACCATCAGAGTCTGGGAAAGTACCCATGATAAATACAGGTACAAGGCTAGAGGTATGCTCAGCCTGACCTCAGTTGCTAAGGCCTTCAGTTTCCTTCTTGCAGATTCTGGAACTTGACCCCCAGTTTCCATTTTGGGTTGCCAGCACTGAGCTCAGTGAGTCAGTAAGACTGGAAGTCAAGCTGGGAGTCTGGGAAGAAGCCAGGGACCAAGCCTGACCACCACAGCTGGAGAGTCTAATTCCTGGACTCCTAGTGTCCTGGAGCTCTGGCAGCCTCTCCCAGCCAAGCAAACTACAAGAAATCCATCCTGCCTCTGCCCTTCTAGCTATACTTGAGCCAGAGAAATATTGTTAGAAATTTGACGAGATGAACCAAGGCTTAGCTGTCTACCCGTGGAGCACAGCAAACAGCTTTTGGCATTTTTCTGCAGCTCAGTATAGCCTCAGCAATCACTACACATCAGGGAGCAAATAGGTTTTACAGTACCATCATGGGATGGGAGGGAGAAAAGGGGTGAGGGAGGCACTCACGCAAGGCAGCAGCACACAGGACCACTTCGGCCAGGAGCAGGAGCGTGAGGTGGCGGTGAGCCCCGCACATGGTGCCAGGCTGTGCGTTGGCCGGTGTGCACGGTGGAGCAGTAATTCCGTCAGCCTCCACTGAGAAGTGAGAATGAAGTTTCTCCACTGCTCGGCCCTCTGTTTAAATGCAGGGCCCCAGGACTCATCATGTGATGGAATTAAGCAGAGATGCATGATTTTGTCTTCAGCTTCTTTCAGCTCATGTGCTTATGACTCACTCCCTTTGCTTTCAGCATTCCCTGGGATTTCTGTGAGACCTGTTTAGAGCCACACCATTTGCCTTGCAGGCATTTTTATATTGGTTTTGCACTCTGATCAATATTTATACCTAATTTGTTTTTAAATTAGGACTATTTACTTCCAGAAGTCCAAATTAACTCTCACCCTAGCCTGATTTGCTAGTTTTACTGCAACAGCTCATAGCATGTGATGAACTGGTCTCTACTTTTAACATGTTTCTCTTCCCACACGCTGAGCAACAACCATAAACTAAATGAAAACTGGCTGATTCTAGCACTTCCCTTCACTTGGCTCTTGATCAGAGTTGATCCTGAAGGCAAACATTATTTAAATGTTCATTTAGTGGGTACATGCACGTACCTTACTACCATAGTTGTGTGATACAATGCTTAGAGGTATGATCACAGACTATGTTGTGATAGCCAGTCAATATCTAGGTCACAAGTTGATCTACACACTAACAAGTACTTCACTGTAGTGTGTGATGAATAGGGATGAAACAAAAATAGATTTTACTGCCCAGCCTAATCATGAAATGTAATCTGTGCCTGAAGAGAAGAAGGGCAACATTGGCAAACACTGCACTTTCTGGTTCACATTCAGCTTCAGCTTGCTTCACCAGACACAGGTGGTCTTCTATAGGAGGTGCAGTAATTATTTTGCAGCTCTGTCAGCCTGGTGAGGTTTCTTGCTTTTGTTTTCAGCAAAGAAGAAGCTTTGGTGAACTATAGTATGGAATCAACTGTGGACCTCAAGAGTGGTCTCAGTGATTCCAAAGTAGAGCACTGGCAAGGGAGGCACTGGTGAATGAGAAATCAACAAGTTGGGCAACACTAAACTATTTTTTATTTGGGTAGAGCAGGTGGAAGTCTGTAAGCCAAGGTGCTGTAAACAAAATGAAGAGATTGCTCAATGAGAGGGAAATTTACAACTATGATAATGTATTATTTTTATTTTTAATTTGTTCTTGGTATCTTTTGTTTTTTCTCACATTTTCTCTGCACTCCTCTGTCCTGTAACACACCATGGGAGGGCTTTCAGAAGCGATCCCAGGATGTGTGAACAACAAAGTGCATCCTGCATATGTAGGCTCCATGCTTCAGCAGCCTCCTGTCTGCCAGGGAAAGGGGTGAAGGCAGTAGCCTTGGGGATGCCAGGCTTGTTGGGACTAAGCCCTCATTATCTGGCAGAAAGGAGAGAAGCATAAATCAGAGTTAGAGCTGTGTCTGACTATGCAAAAAAAATCATATGATTGCAGCGTCCTCATGTGATTGTTGCTTTCTTGTTGTTATTAAATCAACTCCATTCCCAGTTGAAATGTCAGGTTACAAAGTCATTCACAATTATTTTTTTAAACCATGTGGAACATTAGCTTTGATTGTACTCCTTTGTTTCCAGGTTGTTGATTCTTGAAGTGAAAAGTGACCTTCAAAGACCATGTTTCAGCATGGTTGGCCTGATCCAAAGCCTGATGGGGAGAAAGGAGGTTTGCACTGCTTCCCAATGGGGCTTTTTAGAATCTTTGGGGGGAAAACTGCTGACAACAAATGCCTAGTAATTAAAACCAAAAATTTATCAGCCTAAAAATAATGAAGTTGGTTAAGACAGAGATTTTTTGCCGTGTTATTTGATACATGAAAATGTTACATAAATATTGAGTGACACTCTCAATAAGAGCCAGCTGGTGAAAATTACTGAACACTTGTAAATAGACTTCAGGGGCAATGAGGATCGGGTGTGTGGTTAAAGGAATCCAAAACCACCAGGGCTGGTGGTTGACAGCTAAATGGTGGCTGAGCCATGAGGATCTGGTCCTTCACATTCTCTCTCCTCAGCTCTTGGGCCTTAGATTAAGCATTCTGGAAGGGCTGACACAGAAAACTTTTGGATCCATTTATGCTGTGGCTGCAGCCAACTCATTAGCAAGAAAAGAGAAGGGGAGGAAGCCATATAAGAAAGAACTAGGAAGAATAGTGATGTAAAAAGAGTAAGGAGAGGAATAAAGAGGCTGAGGAAAAGCAGTAGAAATTAGAAGTGAAGGCTGAAGTGATTGAAGTAGTGATCTAGTGATCACAGCCTCAACTGACTTCAGCATTTACATTTGGAGTTCCTCTGAAATACTGAAGACTTGCTTGAAGCTGGTTAATCATCACTGAATCTTAAATTAACTTCGTAGAATTTGCATTATTATTCTTGGTCCCTTGAGAAGCACCTTCAGAGTTAAAATAGCTGAACTGAATTGTGTATCTATAAAAGCAGAAATATTTTAAATATATCCTAAATATTTTTCCAGCAAAGAAACACATTCAGAGAGATTTGGGGCTTAATCTTACAAAAAAGTGGGTGGGTACATCACAGCTTTAGTTCCTCAGTTATTAAAACTTGTCCAAGAGATACAGATCTCTGTTACCTGAAGGCTTGTCAGATGACAGGGTGTGATCAAATCATGCGTACCTACATGTCTAGATTGTGACAGAGATGGCATGTTCTCATGCTATCACACTTCCATCTCAACACAAGTACAAGAATTATTAAACACTTCTCACAGGAACTTAAAGAAAAGAAAGGGGGGGATTTGAAGAATGACCTTGATCTTTTGCCAAGCCAGCACACAAAAATGAGACGATCTCATTTTAGTTAACTAGATATGTGCAGGTATTAACTGTCTGCCATTCCCTGGAGTCTCTTGAGGGAACACTGCTTAAGACTACACAAGTTCCCTTTCTGGGAGGAAATCACCTGTGTCTCACTTCTCAAGGGACAGGGGCCCATCAGCTGAGAAAACTGAAAACGCAAATAAAACTGTGTTGGCAGTTTGCAGTCTTTTTTATTTTAGAGGGAAAAAAAAAAAAAAAAGAAAAAAGAAGAAGAGAGGAGAGGAAATAGAGCCTTACAAAAGCTCCTAATCAGTTTAAGATGCCATCCAGCTCAGTTTATCACTGAAAAATAAATTAACCCTCACAACTAGATGAAATGACTTTTAGTAGTTTCAGTATCTCCTTTTTTTAAAAAAATGTTATTATTATTATTATTTATTATTATTATTATTTTTGTCAGCTAAAGCTATAGCCAAGATTGTACCACTTTCTAAGGGAAGACATTTCCACACAGTCACTCTTTTCTGAGTTCCCATGTTGGCACTGAAGCTACCCAAACTTTGCACTTGACCAGGGTATAGAATTCTGTAGCTTTCATGTGTTAGAAGTCACTTTTGACCTAAAGCAAAGGCTTGAATGAGCATGCCATCTCTCTGCTTCTTTAGGAATGTCTTTGTTGTTTCCTTCATGCTAATGCTAGCCTCACTGCTCAGGTAGAGCCACATTTATGATAGTACCTCAGAAGCCTTGTGAGAGCAGCTCTTAGGAAGGCATGGAAATCCCAGGTGTCATTCCATCAGGGTAAGGCTGCAGCTCTTTGACATAAAAAAATCCACAAGATCTCAGCCCTGAAATACAAATCTACACCAACCCACACATTCTCCCCACATGTGTTTTCCTGCTGATGGAAGTTAATTCCTGTAAATGACCAGCAGTTGCAGTTGAAGCACAGTAACAGATGCTGGTGCTTTAGATATCACATCTTTTCTTCTTAAGGTGTATAGATGAAGCAGGTGAGCCTCATTTAGTGTCTGTAGGCAGGTTTTTAAAGTATGGTGCTAATGCAAGGAGGAGTTGTTATGCAGTAATCCCTGTGTTCCAGTCTCTAGCTGATGTCCTCAAAGGCCTCTGTGAGCTGTTGCTTGTCTGATGTATACATCAGCTAAGTCTTGTGTGGAATTGTGGAGCTGTTACCATTTGTTATGGTATGGACATTGGTTTTACTGTGCTACTTCTCTCATACTGGTTTAATGAACGGTTAGTTATGCGGTTTATATTCACAATGACTCACCAAGACATGATCCTCTGCTTGTTGTGAGGCAGATAATTGCTGTGAGAGTGCATGATTATGACTGTAATGTCTGTGTTTTATACCATGTTATAATGAAATCCATTCAGACCTCTCTGGTGCTTGTGGGGACTGTAAAAGGAAGATTCTGTATCCATCAGGTCAAGATAGGGCAGCCAAATTATTGCTGAAAAGCTGTTTTTCCTAAAGACTCTTACTGATATTTTGGCTGTGAGAAGAAGAAAGATCTTTTAAAAAATAATACAGGATCAATCAAACAAAACCTAAACAAGAAAATGATGTTGTAGTAAAGAGAGTAATACGTTATGAAAGCATTAGCTGTGTAGTCATGTTAGTGGCAGGATGCTGAAGGCAAGGTGATCTCAAGGCATAATCTGCTCCTTAAAAGGTTTTCTGAGAAACAAAGTAAACTGAACATGTTAAATTGTACCTCATTCTCTGTATATGCTGTGTTTCATTCTTATGGGCTGGCTACAAGAGCACAGCACAGAAGGTATGTTGTTTCACAGCCCAGTGCAATTGCCTTGACTACTCAAGTGTTAACCTCAGCATTTCTCTGAAACAGGCGTCAGAAAAAATAGGAGTGCTGGAAGATGAACTTCAGCAGGACATTCTCTTTAACATATTAAAAAACAGAACATGGGCAAAATTCTGCATTTTTTGGACTATATTATTATTTGGACTCCACTGACACATGGCAGTAAATCAAAGTCAGCTCTTCCTTGGGGGCCAGGCCCACGGGTAGAGGGCTTCTTACCTGAACAGAATATATTTGATGCTCCACTGCCAAAAATCATATGCCAAAATCTTTAACAAGATACAATATTACATACAATATTACATACAATATGTATATTGGAATGTCTTCTTAGTTCATCTTGAACACTGACATACTTCATTTATGTTTCCTGTGTTGCAAGCAGTAAATTTGCACTGATCCTGTTTTAAATTTGCATTGGAGTAAGGCTATTTTATTTCAGCTTTCTTTGCCAGTACTGGAAAACCTAACATAATTCTTACTCTACAAGAACCAAAAAATTGATTTAATACAGCAGCACACTTGAGATCCCTGGCTTAAGCAAAATACAAAGGCTGAACTGTCTGTCTACTAGGTGTAAAGTGCTGATAGCAAGAGCTATGAGGCCTGCATGTGGGATGCTGTATGACTTGATAACTATTAGTAAAGAAAATGTGTGTGCATCGTATAACAGAAAAATGTGGTTCTCACTCTTAAAAGAGCAGAATAGCTTAACAAATCTTCTCTTGGACATGCTTAGTTACAGCTGCTTGCTCCAAGCTCTACTGTCTGTCTGCCATAGCTGGAAGGGACAAAGCTTTTCTCTGCCCAGTATGAGAGGTTACATCTTCACTGCAAACAGCTCAGTTATGCTGCAGGTGGAGGGAAGTTTAGCAGTTAGTAAATCATTCAGATTCACTGTTATCTTCGGTTAGAGATGTTACTTCCAGTTCAAATAGTTTAGATTTAATCCTGTCCTGTGTCAGGATGTCAAAGTTAATAATAATAATAAAAGGAATAGCCCTGATGAAAAGAAAACAAAGAAATGGGACATGTAAGTGAAGAGGAGGAAAAGGGACTGTATTTTCAGTCCTCTAAAAGCATGCACTGTTTTTTACACTGCAATTGCAATGAGAGTAGGGATGAGATGAACACAACAATATATATTCTTATGAACTAAGAACAATGTAAAATTATTTAGAGATAACCTGATCTTTAGGTTGCTGTTCTTTTTGCTACATTCCCAAGTACCAATTTCTACTATTATTGTGATACACAATACCTCTCAGCATTAAAAACTAGCTAGTGAATGATGCTGTGTAGTATTAAAAACATAAGAAAAATCAGCATTTGCTAAGACAGAGCCACCAAGCCAGCTTGTTACTCATTTCTCTTTGAGTGACATTTTGCCTTCTAAGAGTGTTCTGGTAACAAATAAGGACATCATATGGGTACAGAGGATGGGCAAATTAATTAGAAATGCATTTGTAGGTAGTCCAGTTCTATGCAGATCAAGAAGTTGACAAATTCAAAGCAATGTAGTACCTAGCTTAAAGTACTCTGTTCAGTTTGTTTAGGATAGAATGTTAAGCCAGAGCTTCTCCCTCCGATGGTGGTGTAGTCAGGGATGAAATTCAAAAGTCTAAAGGCAATTGCAGCCCCAGTGAAGCTGTTTTCCTGTTGTGACCACTGAGTTCTTGGGTTTCACACTGATAAACATTTACGTTCCTCCTCCTTCCCATGCTTTTAATTGGTGAAACTGTCCATGTTTGTGGAACATATGGATGCTTATGTTTTTAAGCAGAAGTAATCTATTTGAGTAGTAAAACCCCACTGGAGATCACTGACAGTGCCAATGTTCACATCGCCACACCTAGCACAATGCTGACTTAGGATGCCTGTTTCTCTGTGTGGTTGAAGAGAGAGCAAAATCTTCATAGGTAATGTGTAGGGCCACATAACTGAGGAGAGGATATAGAGAGAAGAGTTTTGTTTTGTTTTGTTGTTGTTGTTTATTTGTTTGGTTTGTTTGTTTGTTTTCCACAGAACAAATGAGGAAAAACACCGTTAGTGTTTGGGGAGGCTTTGCAGAGGGTCTGCAAGTCTTCCTCCTCCTCTTCCTTTAATTCATCTGAAATGGGAAGGCTGTGAGTGAAAGTGAACAAAGATGATGCTTGTGTTGGGTGGAGGAGCCTAAGCATTTGAAAATGTCTCTGGCCATCTAAATTCTGTGAGGGGGAAAAAAAACCTCCATTAAAATCACAGAGTCTTCCATTAAGAATTTAGTGCTGTTTCTTTGGGGCACTAATTAGAGCACATTAATTATAGCATCAAGAAATAAAGTGGGGAGCAAACAGCATTATGAAATTTTTGAAGTCAAATGTAGCAAGAGTTAAGAAAGCTCCTTTAATATCTGAAAGGTACAGGGAGTACATCTATGCTGTTATGTATTCACATGCTTTGGACATCACATAGATTTTACTGGAGGGCTTCAAGGCTGTGTGTTCATTCAGGTAGGAGCCAAAAGCCCCAGCAAAGAAAATCTTTGTGGAATTTTTGCCCAAATTACAGACCCCACCTTGTTGTTACAACTGTACAAAAGTAGAAGGATGTGCAAACTCTGCATTTTATTTATTTATGGTGTTTTAGGGTTTTAATTCCTGTAGTATCTGAATGATTTTTATGCATTTCTGGATTACACACAACTCCTTCTCATAATGTATTTGTAGCAGTTTTATTAACTTTAAATATCTATAGATATATTTAAAGCTTCAGGTTATGTACAACTGAAGGATGGTCTTTTCCTGCTGGGTGAGGGTCCGCAACTCATCCAGAGCTTTGATATGGC